GCCTGGACCGGGACTGTGTCCCCGCCGGCCTTGCGTCGACCCCTGGGCCCCTGGGGCTGCGGGGCCCGCAGGCCGCGGGAGCGGTGCGGCTGCCTGGGAGGCATCGGCAGCCTCCAGAGGTCACTCATTCTCACGCACGGGGGCTACAAGACGCGAGGCAGCGAGCATCCATGTCTTTGCCTCCTACAAGGCACAGTCAGTGAAGTCTCTGCAACCGCGACGGTACATAGGCCGCTCATTTTTCTCGCAGAACAAATGACCGCAAAAGAAAAGGCACGATATTCCAAAGCTCAAAACTGCGGTGTAAACGTTACCCAGAACGCATCATATTTGATCCGCGGCACAAGAAAGGAAGCCAAGAAAATTTTACTTCCGTAACACAAATTTTGATCGCCCTGATTACATGATTTAGTTATGTTGATATAGGTGTGATCGGCTAGATAATATTTTTGTTCACCTGATCATATTTCAATTTAAATACCTGGTTAAATGTTTTGTTAGTTTTAACTGAGTATATTTTCATCGATTCAAAACATTTTTTGTTATTAGGACAAATAGCTATGCTCATCTCACTGAGTGTGGTGTAGGGTGCACCACACTCTATCGCTCACCTTCAAGCGTGTGAATTTTTCACACACCTGCAGGTGTGTGAAATTCGTACATTTGGATTTCCAGTGTGTGACTACCCAGTCATCCACAAACGAGTACCTCGTACCTCTATGAAGTTGACCGCCCAACAAGAACAAGGACGAAATCACAATATTTCTGCGTGAAAAGTATACTTTTCATGCGTGTGGTTTGCCGTAAGACGCCATTAGCAGAAACGTTAGGCAAACCCACCCGTACGCGAGCGTGCGTGCAGTACATCCTAACTAAGGACGGGGCAAGGGGCGAACAGCAACTGGGTACAGCACATCAAAAATAACGACCGAAAAAACAAGCGAGGGTTAGATTTTTAGCCAACTTTTTTACTTGTGTTTTTAAGGGGTTTAACAATGAAATAAAACAAACAACACACACAAAAAAGTGAACCAACGACGCAAACATCATCTTTAACAAAAACACAGTTTAATGGCATATTTTCGATCGGACGCATGTTGCTGAGGTGAGACAGTTGGCAGTCGGGATAAGGAGGAGATCGCGCGCGGACGAGCACCTAGACTCCCCCCACCACGCCCCGCGCCCCGCGAGCCGGCAGCGGGCCAAGAATAGCGGCCAATCCGCGCCACGCCACCAAACGGAACGAGACGAGCCTGATTTGCATTTGCTTTCGTTTTCATTTTGAATGGACGTTCCGATGAGGTCGGAGGGCCGTGCGCGCCGAAAGCAGCTCACGGCAATAATAACAAGCGCCCCGTGTCGCGTTGGTTAGCCCGACTCACTGTCACTTTCGTGCCGTTCCCGACCCGGCCGACGCCGTCCTCTGAAAGGGGCGGAAGAGGCGCGGTATGACATTTCAGAGAAATGGTCGGGACGGTGTTGGAGAGGGGTGGCAGTAGTGTGGCTATGGTGGGTGATCAATACATTTTTGCTCGTCCCGTGCGGCTTGCCGCGGCTGACCGGCTGGCCCCGACGGCTCGCTCCGGTGAGAGGAGACCTCCTGGGTTTCAACACGCGCGCCCGCGGCCCGGGCCAAGACCCGCACGGCGCGGGTTAATTTATAGACCGCATACTCGTCACTTAGAGCCGCCCGACCTCTCCCTGCCGAGAGGTCGGCCCGAATAATGTGAAGAAAACTTCTCACTTTTACTTAATTCATTTTTTTGTTGTTTTGTTTATTTACACGCTAAACCCTTATGCATTTTATTGTGCACAAACATGCAGGTTTTTATTCAGCCATAAGTACGCACAAATCTGAACATAGCTCTGTATAAAATTGTGCACAATATCATGGCTGTATAAAATTCTGCATGTTTTGCACAACACAACACAATGCATAAGGATTTGGTGTGTACATTTATTCTACTTTCTTTTTCTGTTCAAGGCAGAGCATAGTTTCACATCATGCATATGATAGCAATGATAGATAGCCGCCCCCGTTCAATAATACTTGATCAATTTTGCCTCGTTAAGAAATTAAACTAAACGGAGCAGCAGAGCGCTCGGAATAAAGCCAACGAGTAACAACGTCAGCAGCAGCAGCAGCAGCAGCAGCAGCCGCAGCCGCAGCAGCAGCCGCGCGACAAAACGCACCCCGCGGGAGAAGCGTGGAGAGAAGGCCGTTGCGGCGCCCAGCGCCCTGGCGTATGGCGCCCCCTGGCACAATTACGCGACAGGCGGGCCGGCGGGCGTCGCGGCGCTGCTGGCCTGGCCGACGCGCGCGCCCCATATGCGCTCGTTATGTATGGGGCAAGTGTCGCCGGCCCGACCAGGGCCCGGCCGGCACAAGGCGGCGACCTTTCCTCCAAGCCACCTGTTTAGGGAACGGCCAGTCGTCTAGGCTTTTGCTTTTACGACGTGAACAACGGTTACCATATAGTACACACAAGGAAGAGTATGTGCTTGTGTGCATGGTGTACGATATGGTAAGTACGCATACGTGTATGTGTGCACCATGGCAAGTACGTACATTATTGCATAGGAAGTTAAAAACGAATTCGGTACGTGTTTATTCTAAGTTCACAAGCTCCCGGGCATCGGCTCGCTCTAATAAAGAGGAATTGGAGACTGAGGTGGGACGTCGCTGTCCATTGCACTGAGAACAACACTTGTTCTTCACCTAGGGATCATCTGCTGGAAAGTACGTCCGTTTCTCAGATTCATTCGATCATTCGGCAAATTACGAGAGCATGGCGCCTGCGAAACTCAGGGTGGGCCACCCCGCAGTACACGCGTGCACTTGAGGCAAGATGTTGCCTACCCATCAGGCGCCATGAGAACTTGCATTAACTGCATTAACGTAAGAATTTCGTAACAGCAAAAGAACGAATTAGTTCCATAGCACAGAATCCATTTTGGGTTCTACGTCTCCCTTGTTTTTGATTTGTTTTTTTATTATTATTATCAGCGCTGAGCGTGTTGTCCATCTTGTTGTTGCCAACAAGATGACGAACGGTTTTTCAAGTTTGCCAAAGCAGCAGACACTCAATAAAGGGTAATAGGGGGGAGGGGGCTTCTCCCTCGAAGATGCATTTTGTGCTTCGCCATAACTAGTACAATTTTTATTTGCCGCCATCAACAATAGTTTTATAGCAGTTTCGACGGTGTTTCTGCCGTGCGCTGCTGCGCGCTCGCCCCGCCCTTCCCCTGCCGGTGCCGGTGTGGTCGGCGGCGCACACGGGGAGGCCTCGCACGTCCCCCTTTTGATTAGGGAAATGCTCGCTCCACGTCGGTTTTTAGCGCCGTTCTAATTACCCGAATGGCGCTGTTATACAAACTAGCACATTGGGTGTGCAGAGCGCACCAGGCACGCCTGCCTCGGGCCGTCGGGCCTGCATGTCATCCGTGCGGCGAGGTGCCCCCGCCAGCCCCGCCAGCCCCGGCCAACTGGAGCGTAGTGTACGCGCCGCCACTCGCGAGTAAAACGATTCGCGAGTAAAACGCGCCCCTCGGCGCGGCCGAAAGAAAAAGTAATATAGCGAAAAATGTGTACCGGCCGACGAGCAGCGCGCGTGGCAACACTTCGGTCGGACTATGACAACATCCAGCGGGCGTAGAAATAAGGCGCGGGTTAAACAACGGGGGAGGGAATAAGGCTTTTCTTGCCGAAGCCCGACACACATTTTTACGCACAGAAAAAAAAATGGAATAAAGATGAATGTCACCGTGACCGGGAGGAGGAAGGGGGGGGGGGGGGGACTGAAACAACAAACACTCGTGAGCGGGCGCTGGGGCGATACGATACGGCTGACACACCCAACTCGCGCGCGCCGTTTCCGTGAGCTTTCTTTCTTTTTCCCCAATCTATTTACCGAGCGGGAGCGGGAGGGTAGCTGGCTGGCTAAAGTGGTCCACACCCACACGGCCCGCAAGCATATCTCTCCAGCTGCTGGATGTACTATGACGACCGTGTCCGGAGGACCTTGCCTGCCGTATCAAATGTAGCGCGCCCTCTCTCACCTTCCCGCCCGTCCCACCAGCCGCGCCCCCCGCCGCGCCGCAGTCGCTCAGCGGTGTCGAATGAGTTGCCTACACGGCGGGCGCGCGGGCCGCACCGCCAGCCGCCTCATCGCCGGGGCGCATCTTTCCAATTACACCCTACATAAAGGCGCGGCGGGGCCCCGCGAGACACAAGCGTATGACCGAGTATGACCCCCGCGGACCCCGCCGCAGCGAAGGTGGCTCACGTAACGAGGTTGCGCAATGATGAGCGATCAAAGCATTCTGATCGGGCTTTGAGATTTGTTTCATTTTAAACGTCGGCCGAGGGGGGGAGGGGGGAGGGCAACCTCCAGACGGGATTAAACAAATTTCAGTGGTCAATGAGCAACAGGCACTGTGTGTGCGCTTTCGGATTTAGCCACCGCAGCAGATATACGCATACCAGTGCACACGCTGATGAAACCAAGTCTGTGGCTGGTAAAGTGTGCAGCTCCTACCTTCATCAGTTTCTGACATAGGGCGCTACAACTGAGTGGGGAAAGCGTTCAACAGAGCAGTTGCACACTTACACACACACACACAAAACGAAGTTCTTGAATCAAGTAGTTATCCTTGGAACAAATCAATTTCTTATAGACCTGAGCTAAATTGATTTTTTCCTGGGATATTTTACTTGATTCAAAGAACCTCGTTTTCTGGGTGCAAGTATTGTGTTTGTTCATATCGTAATTGTGCCTCCTAACCCCCCGGGGGCGACAAGTGTTCGGGGTAGAATAAACGGCACGCACTGCGCCGATTCGCTCCGGCCGCGCGGCCGCTGGACACGGCTCCTAATTGAATTTATCCAATAAGTCACCCGGGCGGAGACTATAACCGATCAGTATCGATCAGAGTGGACCCCGCGAGGTGCGACGCAACGAAGGGGAGACAAAAGTAGGTTTATGAATCTATTCACTCACCTGCAGGCGGTAGGCGGTGTCCGACATTCCAGTACACTCGGATTTCCAGTGCGGTCCTGCCAAAGTCCTTCCTTCCTTCCTTCCTCTGCAGCGAATCCTCGAACCGACTAAGGACAACAGACATAAGTCCGCTCGGCGCCGTAAATGATCAAGCCCAACTCCCGCCACTCGGAAAAAAAAATAGGGAGTGAGAACGCCCCTCACCCCGCAGTCGGCGGCGACTTCCGGGCCGGAGGGATGCACGGCAGGGAAAACTGTAAATGAAAAATTTTGTACCTGGCTTAGACGTAGACGTATCGTTGTCCACATCTAAATCAGATGCAATTTTGTCTCTAGGCCACCTGCGGTCTAGCCTGCATGGCATTCGAGCTGAAACCCCAGCGATAACTCAACCTAACTTTTTGACAACGGTTCATCGGTGTAACAAGTGTAACAGTTTCAAGTTCGCTTACTTTATCTGGTTCTGAAGCTGACAGTGCCAGTCCTCTTTCGTTCTAAGATCTTCTTGAACGAATATAAACCAAATTTGACTATGTGTTTCCAATGGTGGAACTCACCTTACAAGGTACTCGAGGGCTCCACTAGACCGGAAGGAGAAGAACAAAAATCGTCGGGCGCGGGGAGGAGCGGGGCAGGGTGAGGGCAGTACCCCCTCCTCCTTCCGGTGTATCCGAGCAGCTAGCTTCGCGGCCCTAGCTTGAGCAGGATGAAACTTGCGATTTGCTTTTTGACGATTGTTTTTTACCTCACCCTGTTGTTAGTTCATCCTTCTCACATTTGAAGATTAGGGTATTCCTTTTCGGATCCTAATTTTATTTTCAAATGATTGGCCAATCCTGACCCTGACCCATTCCCACTTAAAGATTCCCACTTTATCAACCTCACCGTCAATGGAAATGTAAGCCACAGCTGAATACACTTGTTGTCATAGTGTTAGTTATTAACTAATATATTCCTTGTATTCGTATGCTTGTACGCTGGTGATGCCTGTCATGTTCCAGATGCATCCCAAAGAAAAAACCCATCCACGTATGAATCCAAGGAAACCACATCACCTTACCTCAGTTTAAGTAGTAAGTAAACCACGACAGTGGCATATGTTATGTTTTATTAGAGAAATTCAATGAAATAATGAACACAAGAGCGTTTTGCTGTAGATAAATTTTATTAAAATTATTAGAAAAAGTCTTGCATCTTTTATGATGAACTGTGTTATTATTTGTGAGTATCAGTACATACATGTACTGTTTAGTTCATTAAATGCTAACAATTTTTGAGAACATTTACAATAAAGTGCTATGGCAGTGAACAGCATCTACATTCAGATCAGTTGGCTGCATCTCCAAACCAGCATGAAGAATTTTTATTTTGTTGCTTTCTCATTAAAAGGCAGTCATCAATCTGACTAAATTTCTTTGTTGTAAAAAGGCTATTCGATCATCTCATACAAATTATCCAAGTAGCAGTTAAGTGAATAAAGCTCAGCAGTTTTGTTATTTTTATAGTGGTTATTGGTTCTCTAAGAAAAAGGATTCCTTGTGACAGTCACAGTATACGTTAAGTTACAGTAGGAAATCATTGCTGTGGAAATAGAGACTGTAGTCCCTCTATATGTGAAATAGTCACTAACAAACAAGTCATTTTGAATTGGTATGGGCCCACTTCCGAATTAACAAGGACTGAGGCTATTATTTTGCGTTCTAAATCACAGTTGTAATATTAAAGCAGGAAAATGTTCATGATGCTAAATTAGAGATTGCAACAAAATAAGCAAAGATTTTCAGCAGCATAATCTTGTAGAGAAAAAACAAACGAAATGAGCCAGAGCAGAAAAACTCTGCTAACTTCACACAATGAGCATCTAGGGAGGTTTGGGAAAGAGGGAAATTAATGCTGAGATGGCAATTATTAGCCAATAACATGTAATGGTAAATTTCAAATTGTGTACTTCTGCTCTAATGCGGTTAATTTTACCTTAATTATTTTAAAATCCACTAACTTTATATTCAAAATCACAGCCTTTGCAGAATTCTGCAGTGAAATTAAAGGTGTTTTTCGTACCATGTACATCTACACACAGAACAGACACACACACATGAGCACACACACACACACACACAGATTTTTCATTCACCTACAAACTTTGTTCTTGCCCTACTCAGGCATAGAAATGATTGCCTTCAAATTTCTACTTTTCACCATATGATAAGGCTTGGTGGTAAACTAATGATCGAGGGTAACACCTTATGCTTTTAAAAACACACTTAAAAAGTTGAACTTTAAATAAATTTGTTAGTTATACGAACAAAACAAAAATACCTAGCTAGATAATCCAAAAGAGGAATTTGGGGAAAGGGGGGAAAGAGGGACTTCATGAGTTACATCATAAACTGTGCCTGGACCAAGGAGGAAAATAGGACAGAGTAATGACAAGTTTCTGTATCTGTAAAAACTATCAACTTAGATCCAAGTTTTAGATCATCTACCTGCAGCATAGAGATTACTCATGCTAGAGTTACTACTTACAATACTACAACTTCCAGACAAAATCCATAGTATTTCATTTTTGTTGTTAGTGTACCTAGCAATTGTAAGTAGACCATGTACAAATTACAGTTTGTATTGGCCCAAAGGCTTGAATAAATCACAGACGTTAGCTTCTCACCATTACTGATACACAAATGACACCTTAAATGATTCTACAATGAAAAGAGGTGTCTATGAAATCTAGGAAAGATGAAAGTACTATAATTCTACTATTGCACAAACCTGAATGCAAACCCAAACCGAGCTACATTCTCATGTCATGAGAGAAAATTACCAAAGAACAAAACTCAAGCACAGTTTACAGAATGAAGGCAAATAGCAACTAAATGGAGCTTTCATGATTTTTCATGGTTGCAATTCCCTTTTCTGATATAAATGGGTACATTATTGTGGTAATAGCTATTGTGCTACTTTTGGTGCCCTTGCATTATGGTTAGTTACAAAACTTGTGCCAAACTACAGGCAAAATCCATTATAAAGAAGTATAAAACAATAATGCAGTTCCTTGTATATATTTTAAGAGATACATTTA